GATTGCGCTGTTGATGGGCGTTCATCACCCGAATTTACTGTGTCTCAAGGAACCCTTTGATGAAAGTGATGGTGCTTATTTGGTACTTGAATTGGCACCCGAGGGAGAACTGTTCAACTGGATTGTGAACAATCAGAAAATGTCCGAAAATGAAACTCGTGGTGTGTTCCGCCAACTGTTTGATGGGTTGAAATATCTGGTATGCATATCAAAGGTCCCACATATACAGTACTGGGTCGGCTAACATGTCATTAGCACGAACGAGGAATTGTGCATCGAGATATCAAGCCGGAAAATATCCTGGTTGTAGACAGGGATTTGAACGTGAAGTTGGGTGACTTTGGGCTAGCTAAGATTATTGGGGAAGAATCCTTCACGACGACCCTGTAAGTGGAAGTTTGTCCGCGTCAATGTGAATGCCTGCTAACGTCTGTTTCCAGCTGTGGTACACCAAGTTGTAAGTCATACAAAGTATGTGACCTTGAACAGTGTAGGTACTAATTTCGCAGACGTTGCCCCGGAGATTTTGCAAGATACCCGCCACCGAAAATATACCAAGGCTGTGGACGTATGGTCCCTTGGTGTTGTTCTCTACATCTGTCTCTGTGGCTTCCCGCCGTTTTCAGATGAACTGAACACCGCAGACAACCCATTGACTCTCGCGCAACAGATCAAGATGGGTAAATTCGATTATCCGTCACCGTACTGGGACTCTGTTGGCGATCCGGCTCTGGACCTAATCGACAGGATGCTTACTGTGGATGTCAACAAGAGAATCACGGTGGATGAGTGTCTTGAGCATCCTTGGATGACTGGAAAGTACCCGAGTGTCACTGATAGCACAGATGGGCTAACAGGGGCTCTTGGTAAACTGGACTTTTCTAAACGCAAGTTTAAGCGAGAGCGGACCTTGTTGAGCAGCATCAACGATGCTCACTTTAGCGAGCATGCCGAAGGCAGTGAGAAGCCAGTTAAAGTATTCCGAAATGAAGCCGGGAAACGTGTCCACAATCGACCAGCCAAGGTGTTCCGTGAAGTTTCACCTAGTGGCAATCGGGCACCGAAAGATTTCATCAACATTGGGGAGCGAGGTGATCCTACTTTGTACGACAATTAAGGGGGTTACTGATTTGTACTATTATTCTTAGATGTCATTAGGGCGAATAGGATGTATAATTAAGTCAAACCCAGGGGAATTCATGTACAATTCACAAAAATTTTACCTTGTAGATAGTTAATAGTTAGTTGATACATGTAGTGAATAGTTAATAGTTAATAGTTAATACATAGTAGTAGTTATAGTACAGTAAAATCTCAACGGGTACCTCTTGACCGGAGTGGCGCCACCAATTTAGCCAGAAATAAGAAACAAAATTTACATAGAGACATATATAGACATAAAATACAACATAAGATAGAACATAAATTAGGAGTAATAGAATAAAAGAGTAAAAGATTGAAATAAAAATAACTTACGATTTTATATGGCTCTTTCTAGACCAGGGGCGGGTCTCTCTCTCTCTCGCCGAATGATATCGGACTTAATTATTTTCCTTCGCCTCCTGGTTTAATCTTTCGACATATCTTGGTGAATTGGAGGTTAAAGGGGTTATAGGGTCATTGTGAGCCCATTTTCTTTTTCTCTTTTTTTGCTTTTCTTCTCTCTCTCCTTCTCTCTTTCTCTCTCTCTTTGTCTCTCTCTCTCTGCTTCTGGACAACATGGGCCTTTTCTCAGGTTTCCTCGCAACCTTCTGTGAGCACTGCTCAACCCAGTCAATCTACACTTTGATTAGTGTTGGAGCGTTGTCATTCATTGCGCTATCAGTTGTGATCAATGTGCTACGACAACTCTTCTTCAAGAAACCCCATGAGCCCCCCGTGGTCTTCCACTGGTTCCCCTTTGTTGGAAGCACCATCAGTTATGGCATGAACCCGTACACATTCTTCGACAATGCTCGCGCAAAGGTATGTCAATCGCAGATGTGTGGCCCACAGAAGAATGCAATTGCTAATTTGGAGGATTTCAAAACGGTAGTATGGCGATATCTTCACTTTCATCCTCCTGGGCAAGAAGACCACCGTTTACCTAGGCACCAAGGGTAACGAGTTTATCCTCAATGGCAAGCTTCGTGATGTGAACGCTGAAGAGGTGTACTCTCCTCTTACCACCCCCGTCTTCGGTCGTCATGTTGTCTACGATTGCCCCAATGCTAAGCTCATGGAGCAGAAGAAGGTATGAGGGAATGATTATACTACAAAGTCTTGACTACTGACCGCTGGATAGTTTGTCAAATTCGGTCTTACTTCAGAGGCACTTCGGTCTTATGTTCACTTGATCACCAATGAGGTCGATGACTTTGTGAAGAATTCCCCGGCTCTCCAGGACACCAAGGGGACTTTCAATGTTTCCAAGGTCATTGCAGAAATCACAATCTACACAGCATCCCGCTCGTTGCAAGGACAGGAAGTCCGTGATCGATTCGACTCGACTTTTGCTGAAATGTATCACGATCTTGATAAGGGTTTCGCTCCTATCAACTTTATGCTGCCATGGGCCCCGCTCCCCCACAACCGCAAGCGCGATGCTGCACAGAAGAAGATGACTGAGACATACATGGATATCATCAAGGCGCGCCGTGCATCTGGTGAGAAGAAGGACTCGGAGGATATGGTCTGGAACTTGATGTCGTGCACCTACAAGAATGGCACCCCGATTCCCGATGAGGAAATTGCCCACATGATGATCGCACTGCTTATGGCCGGCCAGCACTCTTCGTCCTCTACCGCTGCCTGGATTGTCTTGCGCCTGGCCACCTGCCCTGAGATTGTGGAGGAGCTTTACCAGGAACAACTCCAGATTCTGGGCGCTGATCTGCCTCCTCTCACCCACGAAGGGCTCCAGAAGCTCGACTTGCACTCTAAGGTGATCAAGGAAACCCTCCGTATCCACGCTCCTATCCACTCCATCATTCGTGCCGTCAAGAACCCCATGCCTGTGGAAGGCACTTCTTATGTTATCCCCACCACTCACAATGTCCTCTCTTCTCCCGGTGTTACTGCTCGCTCTCCAGAGTTCTTCCCCGAGCCTCTGAAGTGGAACCCCCACCGCTGGGATGAGGTTGACACTGAGACTACCAAGGAAGAGGATGAGGAGCAGATCGATTATGGTTATGGACTGGTTACTAAGGGTACCAACAGCCCTTACCTGCCTTTCGGTGCTGGTCGCCATCGCTGCATTGGTGAGCAGTTTGCCTATGTGCAGCTGGGCACAATCCTGGCTGCACTGGTGAGACATTTCAAGTTCTCCAAGCCTAGCGCTGATGCACCCTTCCCCGAGACGGATTATTCGGTAAGTAGTGTTCTCTATATTCAACTGGGTATTTAACTAACCATATTCTAGTCCCTCTTCTCTAAGCCCCTGGGTACATCGTTTGTTCAGTACGAGAAGCGTGGAATCAAAGCATGATCGGAGTTATGTTTCAGAAAAGATTCCCATTCACATTTTGATCACATTTTAATGCCCTGCGTTGATGCCGCAAAAGGTTCGGAGTGAACCTGAATCAAGTTCACTAAATGGATTTGACAGCTAGCATCATGGATTTCTTTCTTCACCTTGAGACGATTCTGCTGTATGAATATTCACTTCTCGCGACCTTGAATCGCATGTTTTCTCTAAATGTTTACATAGCTCAATCATATTATTTTAATATCAACACTTATCTTCAGAAAACTAAATCCCAAAAAGAAATCATGATTGCAATAGTATAGCAATAGTATAGTACAGTTCGAATTTGAACATCCAGGCTCAACAAGAAATATGCATACACAAGGTGATATTTCACCATTCACGTTCACGCCTTCTTTCTCTCATCCAGTCTCTTCTTGTTCTGAACCTCCCGGCGTCGTCGCTCACCACCATCGACCTTCTGTCCCCGCCTATCCTCCCACATGCCCTCCTGAACCGAAATGGTAGCCGCAGTACCATTGGAACCCTTCAAAGGCTGGAGGAACGGACCCATGGGCTGACAACCACGGTGAATCTTCATGTGCGCAAATTTCTTGATCAGTTGCTTTTTGTTATACTGATATGTGGTGACATCGGGTGCTAGGTTGACAATAGCTTTCACCATGCCGGGTGACAGTGTAGCGGAAGAAGTTTGAACGGCCGCTTGTGCTTCGGGTGTTAGGCCTTTAGCATTAATGGGCACTTCAACAACCCGCAATTGTGCAACCCCATCGACCACAGTATCCAGATCACCTCCAGGGCCGTACAGCCCATTCCTGAACTTCTCGCGCTTCCGGAGCAGGTACCGTCGCTGGCGGGCCGGCTCAATGCCAGCTTGGCGGAGCTGGTTGGAGTTTAAAGTGAAAAGTTCTTCCCATGAAGGAATCTTGCTCGCTTGCTTGGACATTTCGCGGCCGATCAGCGTAAGGAAGGTTTGGACGTCAGGAACGAAAGGGGTCGGAGATGGCACAGGCGGCGCATTCTTGTGGAGTGATCGAATGTAATGGTTGGAAATTGATACAGGCTTGAATAGGCGCGCTGTCAAGCTACCTAGTGGTGAATTGCGCATTGCCATAACGTTCATGGTGAAGATGTTGCGGGAAGAATGCCGCAAGCCCCGACTTTGTTGGTAACTCTCGGGCCTTTTTTTTTCCCCCGGGAAAATCAGATTTGCAGTGATATCAATGAGAGGTGCTGCTGAGAAGGCCTTTTGAATTGACAGGTTTCCAGCAGTTGCCGAGGAATTGGCTGGGGGGTGTTAACTGATTTGGAGAAATTTCGGGAGTCGCCAACAAAGTCCAGGATCAATAATACTCCGAGCCTATGGAAATGACATCGGCTCTGGTATTTCGATGCTGCCTTTCACCTCATATTTTGCTAAAGATGATCTCTTAATATTTATAGTAGCCACTGAATATCTGTGGCTATATCTTTTTCTTAAAAAACTTCTTGTCGCTCTCTATAGTTTGACCTTGTGCCTCAAACCACTTTAATCATGGCACTCTCACCCTTTGGCTCTCGTTCACCATCCATGACTGTGCATTCCCCAAATACTGCAATCAGACTGAGAGCTACTGCCCAGAAATCAGTTACTGGCCCTGCAGCTGCAGCTGTGTCCAAGCCTGTGCAGAATGGGGATCGTGAACTTACCGAACAACTTAATATCGATGTCCGGGAACGATACGTCAAAGGTATCTGAACCATCGGCTGTATTGTCTAGGGATATGCTAACAGAGAACTAGACAAAAAAGTAGGTGAAGGTACATATGCCGTGGTATATGTTGGCCACCTCCGACACGATCCCTCATCCCTCGTCGCGATCAAGAAGATCAAAGTCAATGCCGAATACAAAGATGGACTAGCTATGGATGCAGTTCGTGAGGTGAAATACCTTCAAGAGCTGAAGCATCCGAACATCATTGCTCTCCACGACGTTTTCTCGTCCAAGGATCAAAATCTCAGCTTGGTCCTTGAGTTTCTTCCGGGTGGAGATCTTGAGATGCTTATCAAAGATAGTGATATTCACTACGGTGTGGCCGATATCAAGGCTTGGATGGGGATGCTTGCCCGAGGTGTATGGTGGTGCCATGAGAACTTTGTTCTCCATCGGGATATTAAACCCAACAACTTACTGATCGCGTCAGACGGGGAGGTCAAATTGGCCGATTTCGGTCTCGCAAGATCCTTTGCCGATCCTCTCTTCAACATGACGCATCAGGTCATCACTCGGTGGTATCGGCCACCCGAGCTTCTCTACGGTGCACGACAATACTCTGGCGCGGTCGATGTTTGGTCCATGGGGATGGTCTTTGCCGAGCTTCTGCTACGGGTGCCATTTGTGGCTGGCAACACTGACCTGGATCAAACCTCTAAAATCTGTGAAGCGTTCGGTACACCAACGGAGGAGAATTGGCCTGGGGTCAGTAAATTACCCTACTACATTGCCACGGACAAAGCCCATTTGGTTCCATTGCAAGGACGTGATTTCTTCATGCGACAGTTCCCCACTGCAGGTCCGATGGGTGCTGATCTGTTGATGTCGATGTGTGCACTTGACCCACGTAAGCGCAGTACAGCTGTCCAGTGCCTACGACACAATTGGTGGACAATTGAACCCCGACCGACTAAGAATGAAGATCTGCCACGGAAATCTGGGACTAAAAAGATGGGTGAAGATTTGACTCGACGTGGTGGCGAGCTAGATGAGGGTATGTTCAAGAGTGCTGCCCGGCAACTCGATTTCGGAAAATAAAACAAAAAAAAAAAAAAAAAAGGTTAATAATGATACATTTCAATATGCATAGCATTAGTATCTGGGAATTATTGGATCTCTAGGGCTGAAGTTCAGTTAGAGAAAATGGAATGCCAATAGAATATTAAAATCCCTTGCATTTCTAAAGGGTAAATACCCTTTAGAAATAGTTGTGATGGTACTTATGTAGATATAGTTATATAGTACACGGGATGTAAATGAGGATCAGCAGTTTAATTTTAATTTATGTCTTTATAACCGTTAGTCGAACAGGAGTTCATCACCTTTATAAGGAGTACTCCTTAAAAGGGATTTATCAACTCCAAGTAAAAAAAAAAAAAAAGAAGAAGAAGCAGCAGCCTAGACAATCCCCCTTTTTCTACTTGAAACCCTTTACTCCCAAGCTTCTAGGGCTGCCCCTTCTTATAAAGTCCCCTTTTTCCCATTTTATAGAGGGATATAGAAGGAGAATAGTTTCCTAGAGTGATAGATATAAAAAAGATATAATAATTTATATATATAAAGTATTATAAAATTAACTATTAGTATTATATAGCGTCCCTTTCTCTGCGGGGACTTTTCTTTTCTCTTACTATCTATCTCTCTCTCTCCCTCTCCCTCTCTCTCTCTCTCTCTCTCCACTTCCCTCACATCATCTTCTTTTCTTAACTTTGATCTGGCATGGTTTTCACTTAAATTTGTTTTGACACCATGGCTTCAATCTCATTGCCTCAGCCTTCGCTGTCACCAGTTCCACCTCCATCTGGATCATTACCCCCAATTCCCAAACCACGAAAGTCAACCGATACACGCGCTGCATCCCCCTACCAGACCTCCAAATTACGAACTCCATCTAGTCCCAAACCATCGCTCAAATCGCCTCTATCATCTTCAAATTCAACATCAAATCTAAATGCCCGGTCAACTTCCGGTGGGCGCACTCCGGGTAGTCCCGACAAGTCTTTGCGCCGAACAATTAGTATCGCCTCGTTCCCTCAGCCACCAAAAGCCAGTAGCCGTCCATCCACTGCATCATCGCTTTCTGGAATTCAAGGTGCTACTTCTAGTATGCGACCTCAAAGAAGTTCGCGACTGAGTACAGGAACTACAAGCAGCTATCGGAGCTCAAAAACTCCATCATTACTCAACGGTAGTGGAGAGGGTAAATTCATATCAAGTGGAGAAGCGCGAGATCCGGAGGCATCTCCAACCCACAGCAGAAGTTCTTCCGCCCAAGGTTCTTGTTCAACAAGTGCGACGACTTTTGAGGATGCAGATGATACGGGAAAACCAAGCTCTAAGCCAAAAGAGATCAAGGGAAATGTGCTTGTCAGCGTGCGCGTTCGTCCCGATAACAACAGCGGAGAGACGTCCCGAACCCATGGTGAATGGTCCATCGATAGCCGGCAAAGCCTCATCTCATACCGTGGGAAAGAAGGAGGAGATTACTTTTATGGTGAGGATAATATTCCCTTTGATCCACTTGCCCGCCGGAATTAACCATTAAGCCAGATAATGTCTTTAATCCACAAGAAAACAACGCCAAGGTTTATGATTCGGCTGCCAAACGTCTCGTTCGACGTGTCATGGAGGGCTATCATGGAACAGTCTTTGCATATGGTATGACGGGAACCGGAAAGACCTTCTCTATGCAGGGAACAGCAACTTCCCCCGGTGTCATCCCACTCGCAATCACCGACATCTTTTCCTTCATCAGAGAGACCCCACATCGGGAGTTTTTGCTGCGGGTCAGCTATCTGGAAATCTACAACGAGAAGATCAACGATCTTCTTTCTGCTTCTGCCAACGGTCCCGCCGGAGCCCCGCAGGAGGAAATCAAATTGAGAGAGGACAGCAAACGAGGAGTATATGCAACGCCCCTCAAGGAAGAAATCGTCCAGAGCCCGACACAACTTCTCCGTGTTATCGCCCGAGGTGATCATGCACGACGAACGAGCAGCACGCAGTTCAATGCGCGCAGTTCTCGAAGTCACGCAGTGGTTCAGATCGTGGTCGAAAGTCGAGAGCGAGTGCCCTCCGGCAGCTCTCAAGATAAGCGCTCCGGGATCGCCCCGGGTGGTGTGCGGGTGTCAACCTTGAGTCTGATTGATCTGGCTGGCTCCGAACGTGCAGCGGATGATAAGGAACGCCGCACTGAAGGTGCTCATATCAATAAAAGTCTGCTCACTCTAGGCACCATTATCTCGCGACTGTCGGAAAACAAAGATAAGCAAGGGAGTCCCACGGACCGCGATGGGAGGCATTTGCCTTACCGGGATAGCAAGTTGACTCGACTGTTGCAGCCAGCCTTGTCCGGCGGCTCGCTTGTGAGTATTCTGTGCACCATTCAATTCACGAGCGCGGTCAATTCGCACACCGGTGAAACCCTAAATACCATGAAATTTGCTGCGCGGGCGAAGAACAATATTGTCAGTCACGCTAAAAAGGCCGAGGAGGCATACGGCGGCGGTGGCGGTGATTCCGGAAGTCGGGTACTGCTTGAACGGTACCGTATGGAGATCCAGGCTCTTCGCAGTCAGCTTGATACCCAGGCCAAATCCCAGGCAGAGAAGGAGCTCAAATGGGACGAGCAACAGTATGAAAAGGAAGCACAGGCCCGTCACGAGGAACAGGTGTTGGAAATGCAGTTGGCTCGGACTGCGCTCAAAGAGCGGATCGAGCATCTCAATCGCCTGATTTTGAGCTCCAAGTCCACCGGTGTCAACAACCATAACAGTCTCTCTACTTTTGGGCGTCTTTCTCGCATGTCGGCAACAGATTCTGGCGCGCGGTCACTACGTTCTTCCGCCAGTCAATCTACACTGGGTGCCGGCCATTCATCGATTCGACCGATCTCGTTCATGTCAGTCAATAGCAATGATCCCTCATCGGCTATGCCATACCCAGGAGGATCGTTTGGCAACGAGGATGAATATGACCTTGGTGAATTTGGCGATGGCAAAGCCAGCTTACAACGACAGGTCACTGCGTTGCAAGCTGATCTTGGTGATAAGAACCGATACATCTCTACCCTGGAGCGCCGGCTGCTCCAGGCAAGACGATCCAGTCATTCCCGAATGTCAGTGGGCATTAAGCCCACGAATGCCACAATTTCCGAGCATCCAGATGTCTCGGCTTTAGTTCGCGAGAAAGATATGGAGATCAATGAGCTCCGGTTACAACTCGATGATAAAGATCGCATGCTTGCTGCGCTTCGATCCGCAGCTCGGCATCGAGACTTGGCTGCTGTGACCAATGACTCGCAGTCACCAGAGCTGAAGAGCAAGAATGGGTCTACCGCTGGAGATGCAGACAGTTTTGCAGGGGCCAATGGCTTCATCGCACAATCCGAGAGTCCAGACAAGCGTCCATTTTCCGGTAGAAGTGAAAAGGAAGACGCGGGGAAGAATATGGACGAGGTCTCACGCATGCTAGAGGAAATGATCCAGGTTCGAGCAGACAGTGGGCATAATCCTAAAAACAGGAGCATTGCTAGTGAAAGCCGACGAGAATCCTCATCGGCGGAAGTGCCAGGTCTAAATCCAAGTGCTCCCTCATGGAATCCAAACCTCAGCTCGCCATTCCGAGGATGAAAACCTCGATATGATTTTGATTTCCTTTTTTTTATTTCCCCTTTTGCGGAAGCTCTTTGATTTTGTTTGATCTGATACCCAATTCAATAGGTTTACTTTCTTGCATGTGTATTTAACCTGAACTACATTTCTAAGGTTAGGAGATCGAGTGTTTGATTTTGTTTCTTATTTCGCCATATGCTATATATAATATGGCCATAAAAGGTCCATGTGTTGTCATAGTAGACGTAGAGAACGTATTATGAGATTATCTCCAACTCGCCTTCTCTATCTTTGGCATAGACATCCTTCCACTGATCCCACAGCCGCATCAGCTCCTCCACATATCGAGAATGGAGCTCATCAATGTACTGATCATTGATCTTGTCACGGTTCTGCTGCTGCATGACCGAGATAGGTCGTCCGACCACAATGTTGAGAGGGGTTCGATAGGGCATCAGTCCAACATCGTAGTTGAAGACCCCGCGTGCATGGAACAGGGGGATAGTGAACCCTAAAGTCTGTTTTACAAGCATCTGGATTTTGTGGATGAGTGGGTGCTGATCTGAGTCTACTTGGTCATAGAGGTCATTTTCACCAAAGGCCAAGACAGGTACTAGATCGGCTCCCGTTCGAATAGCGAGCTTCACAAACCCTTTCCGTCGCTTCAACACGAGACGCAAGGAATTAGGTCGGGCATTGAGAGATTCCCGGGCACCTCCCACGACGATCGTGATTGCTCGCCCCATGCCCTCTCCATCTGCGCCTCCTTTGGTGAGAATATTCTCACAGGATTCCCGGGAAACACTGGCAATTCCCATGGCAAGTGCGTATTCTCGGTAGAAAGGAATGCGGAAGTTCGCATCCAGCGTCAGCAGAGTGTTGGTGATTCCTGGGAATAGCTTGGAGAAGCCCAAAGCTTCCGTCCCAAATGCGGCAAATGCGCCATGGGAGATAATACCATGTGGGTGGTATCCAAAGATATACTTCTTTGTAGGCGGAAGCGACTCCTCCCGATGAAGACGAGCAGGGAAGTAAGATGCATACACTTTCCAGATAGGAAGTGAGCGCAAGAATTGACTACGTCCCTTGAGATGCCCGGATGTAGCAGCAGTAGAGAAAAGAGATATGTAAACGAGATATGGGACCAAGAGTGGCCAGGACAACGGAATGGCGCAGGTAAAGAAGAAGATGGTCAGGAAGATAGCGATGGTCAAAGTGTGACATAGAACGATAAATGTTTGTAGGCGTCGCTCAAGGCCAATATTCAAAGGAGCCCAGTGGATGCTATATAAGGTTAGTTATGGGTAGATTGAAGAGTTGTTGGGGAGGTCTTACCGTTTTCTTCCACGACTCGACTGAGATGTGGGCGCCGAGGCACGCCCAGCTGACCGTGTCTCCCCGTTCATTGTTGAGAGAAACACCCCTCTGTAGTGTCGGAACTTTTGCACTTCCTGTCCCAGCTCGGGTCGTGGCAATGCGACAGAGGCTAAAGCTCTTGTAAATTGGGAGCTGCGGTGGACGGGAACGATTTCTACGTCGTAGATTTGATGCAAGTGACCTGTACAACTTCTCCTATATGAGTCAAGATTGTGCACCCCCAATGCCGAGTAATCAACGATTAGGGGCATACGACTAAGTTGGGTGATATGACGTTGGTTGTGGATACCCGCAAGGCACCCGGAAACGGTCCAGCTTAAGTAATCCATATGTCTCTCCAGGGCTCCAAGGGCCTAGAGGTATACCCGTATACACTACTCTTATCATATTCGATATTGGAATTCTTTTGATTCATAGTAGGATATATCTAGTTCAAAACAGGAAATCATAAAAAGTGCAAACACCAAATAACTCCAAATTCTTATGTCCAATGCGCTTCAGATGCAGATGTGCATAAAATTTCATGCTTTGATCATGAAGATCTGGTTCATGTTAGCAAACAGATCATAGAAGATAGTTATTGCATAGCTTACCTCGTTGAGAGACTTATCGTCCATAATAGCTCTCTTCTTCTGGGCGATATGGCGTGACCGAGTGACATTCCGTCCCATAGGCCGCCGCTCCCTAGATATTGTTGCTGCTACCTTGACTTGAGGTTTAGCTGCCTTGTCGGAAGAATCACTTTCCTCGGAATCAGCCTTTCTCTTCTTGGACTTCTTTTTCTTCTTTGATTCCGAGCTTGATTCATTGCCATCTGTTTCGTCTCGAGAGCGCAATTTCTTGGATTTGGACTTGGATTTGGACTTTGACTTGGATTTGGATTTGGACTTGGGTTTGCGCGTTGGGGCATCCGATTCACTTGAAGAAGTTTCGTCGTCCTCTGATTCTTTCTTATCCGATTTGGATTTCTTGGATGATGTGTCCTTGGGGGTCGGCAGAGGAAGCTCGGGTTCCTTTTCCTGTGTCAACAGTCCAGCGCTGACGAACCTGACTTCCGGGAATTTCAAGGCGGCATATCGAGCCAATCGAACATCATCGCGCTTTCGTTCATCCTTCTTCAATTCCACTTCACTCCTGCCATTGAGTCGGCCAAGCAATCCTTTGAAGGCATCAAGTCCAGTCGGCTCAGTCTCTCGTGCAATGCGAGCACCCAATCCGAGATTATCATCCTTCAGTGTGACTTTGATATGGGAAACGCTGGCGGCGGTCAACAAATTGGCGTGTGCTGCGTCCTTTGCTCCCAGAAGACTACCAGGAGTCCAGCCCTGAGAGCTCATGATCCGATGTCCGAACCCGGTTGTGGACCGAGTCCAATTCGTGTTATTGGGATCATTACCGATCTTGGTACTCCTATTCACATGTTAGAAGATCATATATATAAAGAAGTAGGTTTAATTGCATACTTCCGCGGCCCCGCTAAACCCATGGCGACAATATTGAATCAAACAGGAGAAGTGTTTGTTGGAGATCGACGAACAATCAAAAAAAAAAAAAAAGAGTCGAGAGGCGCGGGATGAGTCAGCAACCGATAAGGCCTCCACAGGGCCCGACCTCGTGGGGAGAAGAGACGGGAGCTCTTGACCACTCCACCTCAGTTCAACAATAATTCTTTACTATCTTTGAATTTTTGTTAATTTTTCGTTGCATACATTGGAATTTGAAGGTATTTCTTCGTTTTATTCAGGCTCTTGGGGTGTGGTTCTTATCTGGGATATATAAATCGCCGAAATAGGATAAAACTATTGTGGAAGCAATGTCACTGCTTCTCTCCACACCTTAATTTCTCTATCATGTCAAATCTTCGGGTTCTCTGTCGAGATCAGCCTCAACGTACAATTGCGCTGGTTTCGTCGGACCATGCTCTAGTGTTCCACTACACATCAACAGACACCAGTGCGAAGGACAGCCCACGCTGTCAAGTTGAGTTCTCGGACTTGGAGGAAGTGGACCTACAAGGCTACAGGCCGTTAGGATATGGATATGGAACCCTTGGTCTTGTTACTCTCAATGAAGATGTGTTTGTCTGTGTCGTCACCAGCTCCTCGCAAGCTGCCACCGTGAGACCTGGAGAAACCGTATCAAGAATTGACAATGTAGGCTTCTGTATGTTTCCCATGCAACCTCCTGTTCGAATTATTGCTAATCATACCAGATTGTCTCAATCGTTCAGAATACGAGTACGGCCTAGAACATGAGACCGCGTCTCAATTCGCGGCCGAGGAGCGACTTGGCACAGATGGGAAGGATGTGGTAACTGACCATCCTTTTCTGGCCTTAAAGAAGCTCCTTGGAGATGGAAGCTTCTATTACAGTCTCGATTTCAACCTCACAGATCGTCTGCAGGACCGGTAAGCTATCAGCTCTTTATTTTTCGCTGGTCAATCTCCCTCAACTAACAATATTGCAAGAGCCAACAAACTTGTGGCGTTCGACATCGACACTCTTGATGAAGATATGCTGTGGAATTCTTACATGATCAGTCCACTTCTCTTTTTCCGGAGCCACTTGCCACCATCCGATAAAGCCAAATTAGATGCATCGCAGATGTTAACCTGTGTTATCCGTGGATTTGCTAGTACACTCAAAGTACCAGCGACCATCTCAATTCTTCCTCATGTGCGAACAAATTTTCCTTCAATGTTGACAATCATATCCAGACAATCTTCTCGGCGTGCTGGTACGAGGTTTAATTCGAGAGGCATTGATGATGATGGGCATGTTGCAAATTTCGTGGAAACCGAAACTATTCTGTGGATTTCACCCGGCATTGTGTTTTCATATGCTCAAGTCCGAGGCTCGGTGCCTATTTTCTGGGAACAAGCTCCAGGCCTCATTCCGGGTCAGCAAAAGATCGAGGTCACACGGTCGAGCGACGCAACACAGCACGCATTCAACAAACACTTTGAATCGTTGGAGTTGGAATATGGTGCAGTACATGTAGTAAATCTGCTAAGTGAGCTGAAGCCTGGGGAAGCAGAGTTGTCGTGCAAGTTTCGACAGCACATCAACAAGAGCTCAACCCGACAGAAAGAAGGTGATGGGACATCTCCACATCGGAGCCTCTTGCGAATGACAGAATATGATTTCCTTGCTGAGACCCGAGGTCCTTCGGGATATGAAGCCAGTTCTCAGATCAAGCATGAGCTTATCAACTCATTAGATGAGTTTTCCTATTTTCTGTCGGAAGACTCAGGTCGTCCTAATAAGACCTCCTACGACGGGGCTGATGCAGTGAACAACTCTTCGGTCATTCTACAGCAGGAGGGTGTTTTTCGGACTAACTGCTTGGATTGCCTGGACAGAACTAACCTCGTCCAAACCATCATCAGTTCGATGGCATTTGAGACCTTTTTATCACAGCAAGGCGGCAGTCTCAGCTCGGACTTGCAGGTTCGGCATTCGACCATCTGGGCGGACAATGGTGATGCTCTTTCGAAGATCTATGCCGGCACTGGCGCCCTTAAATCTTCTTTCACCAGACACGGGAAAATGTCTCTTGCCGGGGCACTTGCAGATGCACGGAAGAGTGCCACTCGACTTTATGTCAACAATTTTACAGATAAAGCCAAACAAAAGACGATCGATCTTCTCTTGGGGAGGCTAACCAACCAACTTCCTGTATACCTTTACGATCCAATCAATGATTTGGTTATTGAGGAATTGAGCCACCGAACTCCAGAATATTCTTCCCGCAAACAAGTCCGGTTCTGGGTCGGCACTTTCAATGTGAATGGACGTGATGAAGGCCCAGGTACTGACCTCACTCCCTGGCTTTTCCCAGGGTCGGACGAGTCGGACGAAGATCCAGCAATATTTGTTGTAGGATTCCAGGAAATTGTCGCCCTGAGCCCTCAACAAATCATGTCTACTGATCCTAGTACCCGCAAGGTGTGGGAAAGAGCAGTCTACGATTGTTTAAATGCCCATTCAAAGATGAAAGGGACTGGAAAATACGTGCACCTGAGGAGTGGCCAACTAGTCGGCGCTGCCGTTTTGCTTTATGTGAAAGAAGACTCACTGAAGTACATCAAAAACGTTGAAGGCAGCGTGAAGAAGGCAAGCCATTCCGAATTTTTGAAGGGGTTGTTCCCAACTAACTAGTATTTACAGACCGGCCTTTCCGGGATTGCTGGCAACAAAGGCGGCTGTGCTGTTCGCTTCGACTTCTCGAACACGAGTGTTTGTTTTGTTACCGCACATCTTGCTGCTGGATTTGCAAATTACGATGAAAGAAACAGGGATTACGAGATTATCGATCGAGGCCTGAGATTTCAAAAGAACCGGTCAATCGCTGATCATGATGCAGTGATCTGGCTTGGTGATTTCAACTATCGAATTGGGTTGGGCAACCCAAGTGTAAGAGAGCTTATCTTGCAGCGAGACTACCGAAGGCTATATGACAACGATCAGGTGAGTCAAATATCCTTTGGATCCCGACATTGGTCTAACAACAACAGTTGAATCTGCAGATGGTAGCGGGCAGGGTGTTCCAGTTCTATTCAGAAGGCCCAATTGAGTTCCCGCCCACTTATAAGTACGATGTTGGAAGAGATAGCTACGATACATCGTAAGTATCCTGTGAATCTAATCAGGAGGCAACTAACATATGGCAGTGAGAAAGCACGGATCCCTGCATGGTGTGATCGAATCTTATGGAGAGGAAGCAGCCTTCGGCAAACTAACTACCAAACTGCGGATTTGAAAGTGTCTGACCATCGTCCAGTCTGGGCAACCTTTGATTGTGTTATTGATATCGTCAATTATACACTGAAAGAAAGTCTTAGGCGATCAATATACGAGGAGAAACAAGGTCATGGTCACACTTCTCTTGCAGACTCCGTCTCTCTTTTGGACTTGGATGATGATGATGAAACCACACCGCATGTTTCTATCGCACCTGGGCTGCCACCGGCAAGCTCTGACAGAAGCCGATGGTGGCTAGACAATGGTGAGTATTTCAGTCGATGGATATAGTGGATTTACTAACATAGAACAGGCGCATCAGTAAAAGCAACAGTCCAACCACCGAAACAAGGGTATATTCCAAATCCCCAACGCAAATCCAATCCATTTTCTGCAGATGTCGATTGGGTACTGAGTCCGGACTCGATTGAGAACAAAAACGCCGAGCCTATTCCAGTTACGAAGAAGTCAATGCTACCTCCGCGGCGTGACACTTCTGAGTCGTTCACGGAGTCTTTATTGCCTCAGGCAGATGGAACTAAGAAAGTTCGACCGGCTGTTCCTCGCAAACCGCTATCACTAAGTTCTCAGGGGAAAGTCGGGACAGTATCACCTAGTAGTCAACATACATCACGGCAGGACAGTCCGGGGGATGGCGTCACCGCCGGTATGGGCTCTACAGATCTCCTCAGTGACTCAGGCAGTGAGCAGATCGAGTGGAAGCCGCTGTTTCAATGATAATGGCCCATTTAATGTACAGACACAATCTTTAGGGATACCCAATAGATTCTGGATGTTGATCATTTATGTAGCAAGATTAAAATGTCATATGTTCATATTTGACAAGTTAACTTACATGTATTAAATATCAAAAATGAACCCAGTCACATTGTCTAAACTCCTTGTACCTCATTGGGAAACCTGGGCACATGACTATGACTAAGTACTAATTGCGCTGATGTCATCTCTGACCGCCTTCTATCTTCACGCCGCCTTCGTGTTGGTTCATCTATACTACTCCGTACATTGTATGTATATATCTATATATACATGAACTTTTATTTTACTTTTTTCCTTTTAAGGATATTAGGACAAGAGTATTATGCTAAACCAATTGAATTAAACACTATATAGTTTGCTCAATCATAGCACTAGAGATTGAAACTACTTAATTTCAAAAGGTGGTTTCTTAAGTGCTCCGTATATACCTCCGTAGTAACGTGTCGACTCAAGAAACAACGTGGCCTTTTTTTTGCCGGCATATTCACGTCTTGCAGCATCCCTTTCCCATCCATTTGTTTCCCTCAAAATATTTCCCCTAACCCATCATGGTAGGTACCAGTTATCTTCCAAGGTTGCCATGGATGATGATTAACACATGCTAGGCTCAAACACCACAGCAACGTCGAGCGAACGACCGCTTCGCGAAGACCGAGGCCGCGAAGAGAGGAAAAGCGCCAACCACAATTAAACCGAAGAAGAACACAAAGTCACCCCTTTCAGCAACCTGGGTTGGTATGTATTAAACGCTTTTGGATTGAAACATGCTAAAGATTCTCCAGTGTTACTCGCTTTTGTTGTTTGTGGCGGTCTTCTCCTAGAGCTCCTACGAGTTGTTCCTGACCTCTGGTCCACCGTGATCTCATGGTTCACCCGGTTTACAGGATAAAATGGACTTCAAGCGATGATTTACCTCTACTGCGCCAATACCCTAGCTTACAACCGATATGTTTCAAGTCAACATCATCTCTCATACCCCTTATATCCCACTACTCAATAGACCAGTGCCGGATGGATTTGAGAATGAATATCAAAATCAAGATGGTTTTGCATGTGTCGCAGCTCTTCTCCTTTGAAATTTGTATTATTTGATTGTATCTCACTGTTATTGCTTGAGCCAAATACCACACACATGTTGCAAAATTTACTCCGGTCTGGAAGATGGTCAATTCTCTAATAGCTTTTCCGGTTCCTGGGTCTTCTTCTTTCTCTTCTTCTTTCCTGTCGCAGGCTCCGTGGGGCCTTCAAGCCCTGGTCCAACATCTCGGTCTGGAGCAACGTGTTTTTTGGTCTTCTTCTTTTTCTTGACTAGGGTTCCTTCTGCCGGAATACCCTCTAGTTGGATTCGCTCAGATGCTCGCTGCATCCGCAATCGTACTTCTTCCACTTGTTGCATTGCTCGTGCCATTTCTGTGTCACCTTCATCTGTGGGAACTTGGGGAGACGGCCCTTTCTCTAAGGACAAATGCCCTAGGCTGCTCGAGTCAACCTGGAGTAAAGAGCGCTTATATGTAGGGTGGTCATCACCAGCACCCTTAAGCCTAGAGTTATCTGTCAAAGAATTTGGGGCTTCAAAGGTCTCATCGCCAGCAACTATCAATTTGCTCACAGGTCGGCGACTTCTTTGGCGATCGAAATCAACATGGCTAAGCTGTTCATCTCCCAACTTCAAGTCAACTATGGGGATGGAATCAATGTCCAAGACCTCGCCATTGGATATGTTCAAAGCTTCATGGAATGGTGTAGACGTGCCAGACGAATCTCCGGAAGGAGCAATATAGAAAGGGTCATCTTTGAAGCGTTCCCTACGCTCGAGCATTCTTCTTTGTAATGCTGTAGATGATTCCACCGGGGCACTTGTAAAGTTTTGATATGATGCATGGGGCTGAAAATCAATCAGTGCAAGATCACGAGTCTGCTTGTTGGGAGACGAGAGTTCAGGAAGATGATAGAAGTCAGACGTTTCCCAGCGCTTTGACTCGTATGGTGATGAGCCGTCAAGGTTGCGGAAAAGTCCTAGCAGATCGTGGCCGAATGCCTCCTCTAGGCGAAGGCTATCCGGCAAGACGACCTTCCTTTGGGCACTTGTCGCAACAGGGTTGAGTTCAAGCCCTGTAAATAGATTTGGTATGACTGAGGCGAGAAGAAATGGGACTTCTTGCGTATCGGAACTCAACGCTTCACTTGCAAGGCGGAGGACTTCCAGGAACTCGATGGCTCGCTCTTGAACATCCAAATCAGGATGGGCCGCCAAAGCCTCGAGGAACTCAACGACTCGAGCAAGTAAAAGCGACATCTCACTTTTCCAAAGATCTCCTGGTTGGCCGGTCTGGCTAGCCTGAACAAACACCTTTGGTATGGCTTGCAAAAAGAGGGAAAGAGTTCTGGGGGGAAGCGATGCATTGGAGATGTCAATCAATGACAGTAGTGTCCGATTAGGCGACAGCAAATATTCAGCATATTCACCGACAACCCAGGCGACAGGTCCTAAAACACCGTCACCGATAGTTGAGCCCGAAGGGAAAAAAGTTGATCTGTTGTCGACAAACATGAGAGACTCGGCTGCTCTCGTGGCCTCCATGCGCACACCTTTTACCCTTACAGCAACATTGCGAATCTCCGTCCCTATTCGAAGTGCAGCATTCATCCTCAAATTGGGTATAGCCTCTTGCTCTTTCGGATGACCCCAATCGTCTTCACTCTCCAACGGTGGGAGAAGTCCGACTAACTGTACTAACACAGCGACATACCACTCGAAATCAACAATCTCAGAATAGTTTTTTTGAGAACAAAGATCCAGAATCCGGTGAACGACCTCAGTCTGGTAGTCGCTAGGCCATAAGGTTGGGTTTGGGGGGTGTTCGGAAGTTTGGGGCGTATCGACCAATTCAGCCGCAGGGATAGAGGCTTGCTGCAGTTGACCTAGCAGACGGTTGACAACTAATTGAAGAGAATCACTGCTGACCATTCCAACGGCAAGCTCCAAAGCCTGCAATCGAATAGAAACGTCCGCATCGTCCAGGCAATCCATAATGACGTCTTGTTGCATGGAAACCAACGTTGGGTGCGTGGCAACAATGCGGTTCAACGCCAGAAGTGCGACATATTTGACTACCTCGATGGTCAACAGTCAGATATTTAAATGCGACAAAAGGATACTCACGATTAGGGTCACTATCCATAACGATCATACCCCGCAATTTCCCAACACAAAGAGTCGCAACTTCGTCCCTTTCCTGGAGATTCTCTTCTCCGTCCAGAATGCCCCCTTGGATAATCCCATTGATACATTCATAGAGCAAAGACATGGCGGAGGTGGTTTGAATAATATTAGTCAATGGACGCAGGAGTTTGCGAGTCAGCCTTGGCTCTAGCGGGGTTAATGTTGCAAACTAGAAAGGTCAGAGGGTGGTCAGAAGACAGTTGTTCAACAGAATGAGGGATATAAGGGACTAACAAGTTTAATGATCTTGATAGCCATCCAATTATTGCCACTATCGACCAGAAGCTCAAATAATCGAGGTGCCAAAGGGAGGAAGTCATGAGGTCGTCGCCAACCAAGCTCACAAACCACGTTGATCGCCGCAGTAGTGACGCTTCCATCTTCTTGGTCGTCCATTAAATGGTCTTTTATTTTGGGCCATGCCAACTTCAGAGCTTCGGGATACACCAAAGCAAGCCTATAAAGACAGACAATCGTTTTCTTGCGCACCACGGGGCTTGAGTGTGAAAGTCGGGAGAGTAAATCGGGTAGCAAGGACATTGCTAGGGAAGGTGTAATAATGTGCGGCAAAGTAATCAGAGGAAGTGACATGTTGGGGATACTGGAGGTGACAATATCCTGTGAAAAGCATTAGTGGCTAAGAAGAATTTGCAGCCATAAAAAGTACAAACCTTCTTCAGCAAGTTAGTTGCCAGCATCAGAACCTCAGTATCCGGTCGAAAGCTCTGTACTGCTCCGAGATATCCAACTCTTTTTTGGAGGTATTTGGCGGATGACATGACTTCAAGAACATGAAAAGATGCCCATGACATGTCATACCCGAACATTTCAAGATAGATGAGCTTCAAGAGGGCTGTAGCCTTTTTGTCTACTTATGATCAGTATCAAGTCCAGTACCGGGGTGAACAGATAGTTGATACCCATGTCTTGAGTCTTAATCTCGGCCTTGCATTCACGCAAGGAACTCTGTATGTATTCATTCTCTCCTCCCTTGTGGCCCCGGAGACCTTTTATAAGGTCATAAAGCGATTTTTCGAACCTAGAGTACTAGAAATTAGTGTTGGCCAATCTAGGGTGGAAATATGGGGATGCCCACATCGTGCCAGAGCTATCGTCACAGGCTCAAGTCAAGGGAAGAAAGATAACGAAGACCCCTAGTAAAACTGGAGGTGAATTATAAATTGGGCTGTCAGATCATCCATAATTCAAAATGAGAATAGAAGATGCAAGTGGATGCAAGCCGAGCTCCGCGGGGTGGAGAGTTGACGTTTGGGGATATCCCCGATAAGGGATCACGGGACTGTGGCCAATTAAGCTCCGGTGCACTCTGTTCTCTTAACATCGTACCTTGACATTCTAATTGGATAACCCCTGCTCTTAGCTTGCGTTTCCTTGTTTTCCCAAGAAAAGGTGTTTTTTAAAGCAGTCTATTATGGCCGGTCCTGTCGCTGATATCCGCGAGATCAGCGGATCGGATCTGATCTCTGCTCTTCATCTTGCTCAACAAGCACCAGCAATCCTCGGCCAAGAATCTGGGTCTGGAAGTACCTCCAAATCTTCCGGTACTGCAGATTACTATGCACGATTAGAGCAGCTTCTGTTGGCCTGTCTTCGGACGGGGGACGATCAGTCGGCACATACCTGCCTGAATCGCCTCAGCCTCCGTTTCGGACCCTCTAACGAAAGGATTATGGGACTTCGAGGTCTGTACGAGGAGGCAACCGCCAAGGATCAGTCCGCGCTAGAAAAATGTCTGCAGGAATACGACAATACCCTGTCACAGAATCCAGTGAATGTGGTCAGTATTGGTTGCAGGTGTGGTTGCGGATTTATGCAAGACTAACCATACACACAGCCCATCTTGAAGCGCCGGGTAGCGTTGTTGCGCTCTCTCAACCGTCCCTCTGACGCAATCTCCAGTCTTATTCAACTTCTCGATGCGATCCCCACCGATGCCGAAGCCTGGTGTGAACTCGCCGACTTGTATCAGTCACAGGGTTTGAGTTCCCAGGCTATTTTTAGCCTTGAGGAGGCTTTACTCATTGCTCCTAACTCTTGGAATGTATGATCCACCTATTTTTATATATATCTTTGAGTACAGTTATTAACATAAGAGTTCTAAGATTCATTCCCGTCTTGGTGAGCTGCTTTACATCTGCGCATCCGACGGGGACGCATCCCGGCTCCTTGGGAGGTCGGTGCAACACTTCAGTCGAAGCATTGAGCTTTGTGATGACTATTTGCGAGGATTCTATGGATTAACCTTGGTAAGTTAGCGATATAATGATGACTCATTCCAATTCTAACCCAGTTCCTATAGGCATCAACACGGATGCTTGACAATGATTATGCAGGCGTATCAGGTCAAATTCCTAAGAAGACCCTGGAAAGGTTGAAGGCCTTTGCGCTCCTGAAGTTGGGCGAGATTGTTGAGTCACGGTCAGTCAATGACCAACATTGGGCATCGAGTCGAAGCGAGTTGATTGCAGCCAAAGAACTGCTGAATCGTCAGTAAATTAATATTTTTAGGCGGCTTAAAACTGATGAGAATACCCTAATAAAACAAATATGTGATTCTAGAGTGTTCCATTGTAATGTGGATATAAGAGTAGTATATAGAGAAGATATTGGGCATTTTGGTTTGGGCAGATAAAAATAGGAAAGAAAAAAAAAAAAAAACACACACACAAAATGCCCAACGGGCCTAAAGATTATATTTCGATAACTAAATGACTCTCTTTCTTCTTTTTGTATTTATTTTCTGATATATATAGTGGTTTTTCTACATTGTATACTCTTATTTTCCTCCTCTACCGACTATCCTATCCCGACTATCCCTATCAAGGAGATATTTATCTCTTTTTTTTGGGTTAGAAATTTAAAAAAAAAGAAGAATTTCTTCTATTCTTCTATTCCTTTTTCTTATATTTCATTCTAAAGAGTTCATCTCAAAAGAGAAAAGAAAAAAGGGTTAGAAGGGACAGAAGAGAAAAATAGTCCATGCGCAACAAATCCCCCCCCGCGATCTTTTTTTTTTCTACTTTCTTTCTCCTCCAAATCTCTCTGGTCAAACCCTACCTGGGTATTCCCTCCTCACTTCGCGCATGCGAGAAGAGAGTGAGAGGACTTATATATCGTATACTTCCCCAGGCTTCTCATTGTCTCTATGACGTATGTTTGTTTGTTTTTTTACCCCCTTCTTTTACAAACTTTCTCCTTACTCTCCCTCCCTTTCTCTACAGGCTCAGTATTTCCATTGATCCAGACCCCAACGGTTCGGATCGCTCTTACTCTGACGACGAGGGATCGTCTGGTGTCCATGTCCCTACATCTTCCGAGTTAGAAAGTCATGAGTACCAGGATTATGATGAGTGGGCGCATTTGCCATATCCGGATGAATTGAAACCATCTGATTCAGCCTCCCGACCAAGAACTTCGCACCGCAGTCGTCCGCCCCACGGTTCACGCTCCGCTTCGGGCCGTCGCCCAGCATCGCGACGCATGGGTCCAGAACATCAGGCATTCGCCGCCCGAGGCCGAAGACAACCATCACCAGATTCTCCCGACAGCGCCGATTCCGCCGACGAGTACCCTTCCAATTTTGGTCGAAATGATCGAAGGGGATGGCAGCAACCTATGCCACCCGCTGGATACCCTCCTAGCCAGTCCTCTGGTCCATCGTACCCCCCCTACCCACCTGCTCCTCCACCGGGTCATGCCCCGTATGCCCACAATCCTCCCCCGATTACATCAGAGCTCATGAGAATTCCTCACCCGGGCCAACCCAACCCCTATGGTGCTCCGCCTTATGGATACCCACCTCAGTTTCAACCTGGGTCTCATTTTCTTCCTGATCCACCCCAACTCCATCCACGACATGCGCCTCGCCAGCCGCCTCAGATGCACAATCCAATGCAGCCCCCAATGCCGCCAATGGCGCATGCTATGGGTCCTCATGGTGCCCACCCTCCTTACCCTGGATATCCTCACGAGTTAATGGCGTACGGTCCGGCTGGTTTCTATCGAGATCAACCCAACTATTTCGGCGCACCGATCCCAGGCATGATGCCTCCTCATTATTGGCCACCATATCCCCCGGTGCCTTCTCCTCCAGCCCAACCCGAACCTAAATCTCCCCCGCCAGCACCTGCTCCCGAGCCTGCTCCCGCTCCGGCCCCGGCTCCGGCTCCGGCCCCTGAACCTGCCCCACCACCACCACCACCTCCCCCACCAGTTGACACTGCCAAGGATGAGCAAATTGCGAGACTAGAGAAGCTGATTCTAGACGACCGTATGGAACGCGAAGCGAAGGAGCTTGCCAAACAGCAGGCCATTGAACGCGCGGCCGCCGAGAAAGCAGCTCAGGATGCACAGACAGCGCATGATAGGAAGATCACCCTCGAAGCTGCGGCGCTTGCGCGGGCGGATGCCGAAAAGAAGGCAGCTGAGGACGCCGCAAAGGCCAAGGAGGAAGCGGAGAAAGCCACGGCCGCGGCCGCTAGTGAAGCAGCTGCAGCAGCAACGGCCGCCGCAAACGAAGCGGCTGCTAAAGCGGCAGCAGCGGCTGCTGAAGCGGCCGCCAAAGCTGCCGAACCGCCGCCACCACCGCCACCCCCAGAGAAGAAGCAGCCTATCAAATTCAAGGACGCTGTCGGGAGAAAATTCAGTTTTCCATTTGAACTATGTGCTACCTGGAAGGTAGGTCAACCCTTCGCTTTGTTCCGTTTCTTATTCTAACTATGGTTACAGGGAATGGAAGAGCTCATCCGGCAGGCTTTCCTCCATATTGAAGTCATTGGACCTCATGTGGCCGAGGGGCATTATGATCTAGTCGGTCCGAACGGCGACATCATCCTCCCACAGGTTTGGGAAACCGTGGTCGAGCCCGACTGGGCTATAACTATGCACATGTGGCCAATTCCCGAAAAGCCAAAGGAAGATCCTCCCCCTGCGCCAGAGCCTGCACCAGAGAAACCTGCCGAGCCGCCTGCCGAGCCGAAGAAAAAAGCAGATGGTAAGGATGCTGGTTTCAAGTACTCTCGGTTACATGCGCTTACTTCTCTTTTTTTTTCTAGGACCTAAAAAGGCTAAGGCCAGAGGACCAGATGTCCCCGGAAGTTTCGCGATGTGGATGTTGGGTGGCACCAATCGCCGGGGAGGCAAAGGGGGCCCTAAAGTGGAAAAAAAGGCTGATGCCCCTCCCCCGGCACCTGCTGCACCATGAGAGATCAATTCAAATCACCCTGCTTGGTCTGAGGTGATGATTGGTTTGGTTTCAGGTCGCTTTTGGCCACTATACCCATAGACCTTCTAGGCGACAGAGAGGCATGAACATTGCTTTGCTAATACCGCTTGGAATATGATGACGAATATGATGAATGCCTGTAGTATGTTATATGACATCAACTTTGGATTGCGCCCAAGACTGATATTAACTCATATATGTTTTCAAATACGTTTTTTGAAGGTGCCATATTTACTAAATTCTCGGCGTAATTATATGTAAAATGGAGCTTTATGAGTATATATAATAGTGCAAGTTTGCCCTGAGTAGAAAGACTGGCAAGTTTTCCAGAGGTTGCTTTTCTAAGAATAAAGAACGACTACTAACATTCGCTTTTAGTAACACATTAATCGTGTTAAGTAGACCTTACTAACTCCTATGGGACTATCCTGTATGAGTCATGGCCATATGGGAGTCCTATCAAGTCCTATAGGGGTGCTCAGAATAGGACTAGACTCGAAAGTAAGAAAATTAGAAGAGTAAAAATATCTTAATTTCTAGAAGAGAGATATATATTCTAAAGTAGATAATAATATGACGAGCAGATCACATGATAACGTTATATGCTTCTGCTATTAAGTACCGCCTGCCAAATTGAGTCGTATGTCTTCGGCGGAGTAGGTTTAGGGTTTTCTATAGATTCTACTAGCAGACTCTGACTAAAGTGTTTATTATAAAAAAGAAGGTATATGTTTTAAAGGATCTCTTTTTCCTTTCTTCCCTTCCCTATAATTAATATTTTATTTTATACACTCTTTCTTCTAAAAAAATCTAGTAGGTAATATGTCGAATGAATAGGCTGCGATATCGCCCGTCTATAGGCACCTAGGAGGTGCCTATGGCCTATCTACAGTAGGCGGTAGGCTATTTAGATTTTCGAGTGCCCGTTTATAACGCTTACAGCCTATAGGTATACTTATCCTAGGTATACCTACGATACCTACTACAGTAAAACCTAGTTATAACGATACCAGATAAAACGATTACCCGGCTATACCGATTAGAATCCGGTGCTTCAATTGATCCGCCATACAAATATCGTTAATACCCCCTTTCTACGAATATCGTAAATTCATATACGGTTAGAGCTTGACAAAATAGTGCTGCGGTAGTGCTGCAGCACTAAATTTGGTACTGCCTTGGCGCCAAGCGGTAGATCACCTTCCTATAATAGTTAGTAAATTACCTAAATAAGTATATAGCCTATGGCTTGGCGCTAGGTGTTACGGAACTACCCGTCACCAATCGATGGTACCCTACCAGGTACACAGATAGGCCACCGAGAGCTAACCAATCTATCTGTCAGCAGATCACGTGTAGTATCTAATACTCTAGTGTCCCTAGGTATTCAGGAAAGAGAAAACCCATTCACGCTCAGTAAGCAGAAGTATAATTAAGCCTAATTAGACTCCCTACCAGGAGGTTTCTGGTACATATAAACTTCAGGGTATCGGATATTACCTACACTAAGAATCATTACACACAGAACCAGGGACACGTAACCATAACTCCCACATCGACTTAGAGAAGTATATATAGGAGTATATAGCGACTCCAGCGGTGACTCTAGGGAGTCACGCCAGGAGTAAGAATCGAAAGATATATAAGGATACTTATATATTATTACTTATATTTACCTTTTAGACTACTATAACTCTTTACTTGATTATAACTTAACAATACTCACAAACAGACCAATACCCCAGTATAGATCTACTTAACGCTCTCACTAGTATCGTTCCTCGATCTTTTAATAGGACTTAGGCTATAGTAAGGCCTTATAGGTAATAGCTCAGTTACGATAGATTATTAACGTTAGATATATAAGGAGTATTAAAGTAAGTATACCCAGAACCTATCTAACCTAACTATAACTAATTAGTAGTATATAATATATTAAAGACCGTCTTAAATCAAGTTTCGAGTTATAACTACTAATATATCTTAACTCAGAAAGAAAATCCTAACTAAACCAATCTAAGATAATAACCCTAATTCTAACGCTAAGAGAGATAATAAGATTAAGATACTAAAGGAGTAAGTAAAGACTTTATTAAATAAACTTCAAAAGTAAGAAAAGTATAATACCTAGGTTAAGGACTATTTAGCGTAAATATATACCTAAGTTACTACTTTAGTACTAATTAGTACTATCTAAGGGCTAGTATTACCTAAGGCTAAGTATTTTAAAGGAAACCGAACTAAGCTTTAAAGATTCCTCACTTAGATAAATATATACCTTAATATAAATAAAGCTAAGCTTCTATTTAAAGCTAGTAGGGTGATTTTTATATTAACCTACCTATATAGATAAGTATAGAACTAGCTTAAACTATATATTTAAGATTATTATAAGAAGGTACTAAGAGATTAGTCTATAACTACTGTAGATATCTTTAATAACTATAATAAGTTCCGCTAATATCTTAAGCAAACCTTTAGAGATATTAATATAACCTAAATAACTAAATATAAGCTATAGAAAATTAAATAATAAACTAGTATATTAGTCTATTAGTTTATACCTCCGAATTTTAGTAAATTATATCCTATCTAGATCTACTTAACTAAATATATATTCTATACTTTAAGATAGGACTTAAACTAGATATTAAGGATAAATTAGTATAAATTAATAAGCCTAAAACCTTAGACTAACTTATTGTAATCGTAGTTAAGATTAATAATTATATTAATAAGTAATAATATAAACGCTAAGAGATAGACTAATAGAAAAAGGGTAAGAGTTATAGATTTAGCTATTTTAGTAATAGGCGCCACAATAAAGCACTCCGAGACCCTAATTTATATAACCTAAAGCTAATAGAATTAGATACTACTTAGGATAAGTAAAATAAGCGTTAATAGAAGAATCTCTATTTTATATATAAGAAACTAGGACACTATATAAGAGAATATAAGCAGAAGAAACTATATAAGAAATAGTAATATATATAGGTAGTATATAAAGAACTATATATAACCTAAGAAACTAAATAGGACTATCTAAAGACGGAATCTTTAAAAGATCTTTTAGTAAGATAGAGTAACCTAAGCCTAGAAGAGATATTAGTAAGTAACCTATATATTAAAAGGTTAGTTAATAAGCTATATATTAATTACTTAGAAATTAACTAAGATACTATAGAAAGCTAAGGATAGATCTAGTATATCCCTTAAGAGCTAGACTACTCCTTAGAATAGTCTAGTAACTCTTAGGAATAAGAAGTAGGTCTCCTAAGAACGCTAGTCACAACCCCTAGAACTACTAATAGTCTAAGAATAATAAACGCGTTCCTAAGAAGCGACTAAATAATCCTAGAAATACTACTAGATAGTCCTAAGAACTATTAAAATAATAAAGAGGCTAATAATAAGCCTATAGGATATCTTAAAAAAAAGATATAGTCTAGTAGACTAGACTAGTACCTTATTAATATAATTAAAGAAGGTAATAACCTAGTAGGATACCCTTATAAAGATTCTACTTATGTATATAAAGGATATATACAATACTTAAGATATAGTAGAATAGCTAGTATTATATACTATAATAAGATATACTACCTATAGGACTAGTAAGTTAGATCTTAATATTGAACCCTAGCTACTAAAGTAGATAAAGAAGCTATAATAGAACTAAGAGTACTAAGGGGTATAGTATAATAGCTAATAGATATATAACTACTAGGGCTGTTTAATAGTATAGCTAGTAGTAACTTCACTAGGAATATATATTAAACTATATGTGTGTTACGGAGCTACCTATCACCAATCGATAGTACCCCACCAGGTATATAGATAGGCTACTAAGAGCTAACCAATCTATCTATCAGTAGATCACATATAGTATCTAATACTCTAGTATCCCTAGGTATTTAAGAAAGAGAAAACCTATTTACACTTAGTAAGTAAAAGTATAATTAAGCCTAATTAGACTCCTTACTAGAAGGTTTCCGGTACGTATATACTTTAGGGTATTAGATATTACCTATACTAGGAATCGCTATATATAGAACCAGAAATATATAACTATAACTCCTATATTAACTTAGAGAAGTATATATAGGAGTATATAGCGACTCTAGCGGTAACTCTAAGGAGTTATACTAGGAGTAGGAATCGAAAGATATATAAGGATACTTATTTATATACTTAGTTTAGTTCTTCGTCTTTAATTATATATTATTACTTATATTTACCTTTTAGACTACTATAACTCTTTACTTAATTATAACTTAATAATACTTATAAGTAGACTAATACCTTAGTATAGATCTACTTAGCGCTCTTACTAATATCGTTCTTTAATCTCTTAATAAGACTTAGGCTATAGTAAGGCTTTATAAGTAATAGCTTAGTTATAATAGATCGTTAATATTAGATATATAAGGAGTATTAAGGTAAGTATATCTAGAACCTATCTAACCTAACTATAACTAGTTAGTAATACGTAATATATTAAAGACCGTCTTAAATTAAGTTTTAAGTTATAACTACTAATATATCTTAACTTAGAAAGAAAGTCCTAACTAAGCTAGTCTAAGATAATAACCCCGATTCTAATACTAAGAGAGATAATAGGATTAAAATACTAAAGGAGTAGGTAAAGACTTTATTAAATAAACTTTAAGAGTAAGAAAAGTATAATACCTAGGTTAAAGACTATCTAGCGTAAATATATACCTAAGTTACTACTTTAGCACTAGTTAGTACTATCTAAGGGCTAGCGTTACCTAAGGCTAAGTATTTTAAAGGAAACTAAACTAAGCTTTAAGGATTCCTTACTTAGATAGATATATACCTTAACGTAAATAAAGCTAAGCTTCTATCTAAAGCTAATAAGGTGATTTTTATATTAACCTACCTATATAGATAAGTATAGAACTAGCTTAAACTATATATTCGAGATTATTATAAGAAGGTATTAAAAGATTAAT